CGCGTGACTGACATCAACCCTCTTTGGGAATGTAATTTAATCAGTGATGTCTAAATACTTTTAGAAAGTACATGTTGTTCCGAAAAATCACATTGGTACTTGCCAGGATCGAACCCGCACCCTCGTGTATGAGAGGCGGGCCTTTTAACCACTATGCAACCACTGACTTCATATACTTCATATTAAAATGTATAGTATTATATACCTTATAATTATATGTATGTAAATATGATTTCAAAATTGATTTAAAAAAGTACTTTCTTTTTTGTATGAAATACCATAAATCTGGATAAATTCTCTATATAATAACTGTTTTTATGAAGCAATCGATTAACGATTAATTAAATAAAAAATAATTATTCGATTATTTAACTACAAAATAAAAACTTCACGCCTACTTTTAAACTTATAGTAACTTCATTTAAGCTACACCATATATGTCTACAATTCAATAAAAATAACTTTTCAGAACGTGTATTAACATAATAATAATATTAATAATTATTTTAAAACACCCTTTTCGATTATCGATTCCATATCGATCGAAATCATTCTGTATATAGTCTATGGCAACAAGACATTGACACTTGACAATTACCTTGCCAGATGCATCATGCATTGTTATCTGAGTCTGACTTGTTTTGTGTTTTTAGATGCGTTTCGAGTGCTTTCCCGATTATTTTACGTTTTCAACGACTACTGCTTTGTTTTTTACGGACTCCGAACCCGCCTAACGTTTTACGACCCTTGCTTTCACATTGGACACCGACAATCGTATGCACGTTTGACTTGGAATTGTTAATTTGGATTATTTCGCCGGCTTGTGGATTAGATATTTCTGAAACGATGGATCGCTGTGTGAATTGTGGGATGGCAACTAGTAACATTGTAACCAGTTCCTAGACGATATTTTAATTATTATTGAAGAGGAATAAAATATTCCATTAAAATTATTTGTTTTATTTTATGACTTCTACCACATAGTTCACTCCTGTTCCTCGTAAAATTCCATACTTGTTACCTATATCTGTATGTCTTTGAGTCTTTCTTGCCTTTTTATAACTTACCAGATATTCTCTTCTAAATAAAATTATAATTTTTCACATACTTTTAAGTGCATTCATCTAACTCTTAAAGATAATACAATATAACCTCACTTTTACTAAACCTCTAATAACTCAGCTATCTGATTGTCAATTTCTATAGAATTTTCAATGAAGAAACTCTTAATTTTGAACCTTTTAATTAAAACTATTTTCATGTCTATACATTGAGGGCCCAGAATTGCATGCAATACTTTCGATTAAAAGAGTCGGTTAAAATTCAAGTATTTGCTTCTTAAGTAATAAATAAAAGAAATTAATTAAATATATCTTTAAGCAGAAAAGCAGTATTATAACATTTTAATCGTCAGCTATCAGTTACAATACGAATGTTTTTAAAAGGAGAAATAATTTTACAAAAATATATGTGAGTCTAAAGTGGTTTTCTGTGAGGTACTACATAAAATTGTTTGGCACTCCTTGGTAGCTTATAAAACACGATAATAATACTTTAATTAATAAAGTTAAACACTCAACATGGATATAAAGATAATATTTTACAGTTTACAAGTAACCGACGGTTCAGACAAAAATAAATTATTTTATTTAAATAATTTTTTTAAATATATTTTTGAAGTTTTAGACAACTTTTATTTTGATTCGTGAAGTTATGTAGTTCAATGTAACATTTTGATACATAATTTAAGTGAGCCACTGGTTTGTGTTTATAAGTTCAATATTAACTTTTAAACATAGAATAAAATAACTTTATTTCAGAGCTTACATCGCAATATCACCAAATTTAAGAAGTTTTACGCCGGGCCATCATTTCAGATAAGAATACTAAGGTTGACCTCAATATGTAAACGATAAATGCTTGGAGAGTGCTTTCAACTTGTAAAGTGCTTTAAGAGAAATCTTTTACCTTTTTATTTATTTTATAGGGAAATGTGGTTTGATTTTCAGTATTAAAGTGTTATCTGATAACAACATATTTTAATTGCCAAAAATGTCATAGAATTCAACATAACAATTTTTGAAAGTAGATACAAAAGTAAATATCTTTACGAAATCTCATATGATAGATTGCACTCATCTTGATCTTATTATAATATGTTGTAAATAAATCAAAAGCAATTATATTAGCAATAAGCAATTAAAATTTATTAACGTTTAGCGAGTTAAACAAGATTTAGCAATTTAAACTACTTAAAAGCTATTAATACAGAAGGAGATTATTTTTCGTAAGCGAGAGTGCGCGTGCGAGTGTCGCCGTAGCGATGACGGACAAGCGTTACACAACTGAAGTCTATTCGGACTGACGTGCCCGCCAGTGTTGCCAACTTTATTTTTTAGATGATCGTACTATAGACTAAAAAAAATAGTATTTTGTCTTGAAATTCAAGAAAATAATCGTACGTGATGAAAATTCAATAAAACTACGTAAGTATATCAAATAAAAACGCAATTTAAATCTCATTTTCAATTAACATTAATCATCAATTCATATTTGGAATTAAGATATTCATTAATTACATATATTTTGAAAACTGAAAAAAATGAATTGCTTTAGTCACTATCTAAATTAGGCACACCGCACAGCAGATGCTGGAAAAGCATTATATTTTTTGTACATAATTAAATTTAATTTGCTCAGCATACCTTGAGATGGCTTATACACGATCCTTTTTCTTTAATAATATGTTGTGCAGATAACAAATTCTTATTTACTGTTTCTTTAATACAGTTTAGTTTTACATATTCCTTATAGTTGTAGTATAGTACTAAATATAGTTAGTTATAGGAATAGTACTAAAGTTTAGTTTTACACATTCCTTATAGTTTTATTGGAGATTTATTTTTTCTTAATACTTCATTTAAAAAATCGTATATTTTGCTTACGATTTCGATTACTCGATCGTACATCGTACAAGAGTCAAAAAGGACGTATAAATACGATTTAAATCGTACGGTTGGCAACACTGCGCTCAGCTGTCCAGCGACCGCTAGCGGGTGCCAGCGGGGCTAGAGGTGCGCGGGCCCAGACGACGCGAACATTGACGCTGCCCGCATCCTCGCTATATACAATTTAATAAGAAGTTTGTCCGTCGCAAGAACTAAAAATATTAAATAAATTTTAAACAATTATTAAACAAATATAGTAATGAATATAAATTTAAATTTACAATATAAAAGTTTTAAATCTTAATCTTAAGTAGCTCCGCTACAAACGTAATGCAAATTCAATAAATTTTTCTAATAAACCCTAGATAGGAAAGTTGAAAGTATAGAAATTAAGACTTTTGAGAGCTTCTTTTTTATGTACGGTCTACTATATTCACGATTCAAGATTAACCAATTTGAACATGTATATTTTGTCTTTATTATTTCCATATCGGAATTAGACGAGAATATTAAATTTACGAGTAACGAAAATAATGCATATTATATTTAGAAATATATATATATCTACCGAGCCGTTTTCGGCTATAGTGACTTAGCTTTGTTTTATATTGTTAAAAATAGGTAATATTTAAGACCTGTGATGCGACCTCATGTGACTAAAGTACCCAATCTTAGCACTAAACGTGCGACCACAAATGTCACAAGTCAGTGGAAAAGCCCAGTCAAGTACGCAGGATATATTTAGGTGCATAAGTAGACGCGCAATACACAGATGCACCCTCTCGTCTACCTCCCCTTGGTCCAATGGAGCGGATACCCGCTACGATCGGAGGAGAGGGAGATGCAGTCTCTGGCAACGATACATCACTCCTATTGCCACCTTCAGGCCTTCAACGTTGCCTGGTTGTCTCGTCACTGAAAGTGGACTGCATATATGCCAAGACAAACAGCACATGCACGTCCAGTATATATATATTTAGAAATGTTATGACGTTAAAATAAGTGATTTAAATATTCAAATTAAGAGATGGATAAATGTAGGAAATACCGTTCACCTTCGGTTGAAGCACATATGTATACATATGTATGTAGGTGTGCATACTTTTCCACACACTACAAACTTGCCTCACATGACTATACATATGTATAAGTAAGTACAAGAGTACGCTATTTTCAAGAGGCGCCTCACACTTATTATATTAGATTAATTTATTGTAATTATCATTCTATCATTCATTTGAATTATAAAAATAAACTATACCTCTTAATTTTGTATTATACAGGGTGACTGGTGAATTACTATCAATATTTAAGGAGAATACTCGGTACATGATTCTCATTCGAATTATATAAAAAAAATAGGCACTTAATTTTTGACAAAATTTCCGTATAAATAAGTAAAGTGTTGACACGTTCCAAATTTTCAAGTGTGGACGCGTGCGGCGGCGTGCTGATACAACACCACGTCACGACACGCGTATGTGTGAGTGTCAGTGTATACCTAATCTGTAGGGTGTTCACACGATGCGTAATTAATTACATAACTTTTGGTTAACTTTACTTAGAAGTTTATTAATATTTATGTTATATGTATTAATTTTTATTTTGTCATATGTGATCGTCAAATATCACGTCCTCAAATATCGATAGTAATTCACCAGTCACCCTGTATAATGGCGTGTTAATTTTTAGTTTGTAAACTTTTATTTAATTTGTAAGTACTTTACACTTAGCGTAAGTACAGATTATTGTAGTTTATTTTTTTGTAAACCTACATTAATTTCATGCCTACAATTATAAATAGCAATTATATTCAAAATTATTGATATTCTAATAATCAAGAATATTGTTATATTTTTTAGGTAGCAGATACATAGATAACCCCGCCCGGCGGAGGAAGTAAGTTATAAAGTATGTATAAACATAAGAACAAACGTACCATTTGTAAAAGCGTGGGAAGTACCTACTCATGAGTCATGAGTATTTTATATTATGTAATACTTGCAACAATAGTATGGATTATTTTAACATATTATACAACGTGTAACATAATTAACGCACACCCTGAAGCTGTGTATCCATTATGCGCTCCAACAGTTCGAACATTGGCGCGCGCTCCAGCCGCGCGAAATGGATACCACTTTGGAACGCGCGCCAATGTGTTCGTTGGAACGCACGAACGCGGAGCGGACCGTTCCGACGGTTGTCGGTTTTTAGCAACGCATCAATCGCGGCGCGCGCGCCAATTGAGACGGTCACGTTGTATTTTGTTCGTGTTTGTTGCGCTCCTAATTATATATAATTATGGATAATCAAAGATGCCGTAAATTAATACAACTCTATGGTACAAAAGAACTACTGTGGAATAGTAAACTACTACTACTACTTCGAATTGCATATCGTTAATAAGTGTTACACCATACTGCATTCTTTTTCGGTACAGCTCTTTTATCCACCAATGCACTTTACGTTTCTGCTTTTTCTTGTTTATAATACTCTGAATAATTAGAAAAGCTGCTGCTGCTCGTACACGACTAGCTTCCATGACGACGGGTCATACACTGGAACGGCTGTCACGCGCGCCAGACGCGCTTAGTTGTTACAGTTCGAATGTTTGGAACGCGTTCCACGGAACGTACTCTCGGCGCGGTCATTCATGGCGCGCGTGCCAGGAGCGCATAGTCGATACACGGCTTGAAAGTACCTAGTTTGTTTAGAATCGGAATCTGGATCGATTTTTATAGTTTTTTATGTAAATCATTTTTTTCTCAAATTTAGATAGTACTAAGTAAATGACAGTCATCCTACACACAGTTATCTAAACACTTCATTGAAACGAAAATGGATCGTAAGTCAGAGTATTAAGATTTTTAAAATGAAATATTAAATTAGTAATCATCATTCAATTAAAGAAAACTGATACTTGTTTCAAGGCTAAAATAGTATTTTACAAATATCTACGCACGCACAGCGACAGCCGGCACACATCAAATACCTACGCACGTGTCCATTGACCTCCTAGATCAGCTGATTTGACGCCACTCGACTTCTTTTGTGGGGGCGAATTAAATTGCTAGTTTATAACACAGAGATAACAAGTGCCGAGGAACTAAAAAATAATATAATAACCGCCTTTGTAAAAGTGAAAAGTGACACTGCAGTATTATCTAAAATAAAACCACAAATGCGAAAACGGTCATTAATGTGCATTGAACAAGGCGGTGGACATTTTGAAAATGTTTTAAAACGACAACGCCTTGCGAGTGCAAATTAAACTAAGTTTGTTTATGATCTTTAAATTATTGTTAATATTTTGATTCACACCATTTAAAAAAGCCGACTTTGTCGTAGGTATTGTGGTGTCTAATCAAATCACGCGTTATCAGCTGTTTAATAATTCTTATTTACAAATTTAATTTAACAAATCAGAAATTATAAAATATTGGCTTCACATTAAAAAGAAAATTCAATGTCAACAATCTAAAGCTTGAAAAGTGTGATGGAAAGAAAAATCATAAATCATATGTTATTTCGTGTACCTACTTATTATTACCTACTTCTTATTATTGTCGGACGGCACTCGGAGCGGGGCGCGGGCGCGGGCGCGGCGAGTACATAGTGTCTGACCATATTATTTGCACGAAATTGGGATAACTAATTTCACAAATAAAAAATGCAAACGCACATATAAATAATATTTGGTGTATGCATTGCGTTTATATTATTATATTCTAACTGGGGTCTCTGAGGGTGTGCCTTAATAACGTTACATGTTGTATATATAAAGGGTTTATGATAACTCTAATGAGTTCTCTGTCTCTGTGGATAAAATCTAGACGAAAGTACATACTATTTCTTTTAACGGTATTTTTCATTTAATTTTTCTTCACACTATGTCATTGACAATATAATATGTGACAATAATCCAGTAAATCCGTCTGGTTGTGTAACATCACAGAAATTGTATCTGAAAGATGAATGAATGGTGCAATTTATCTGAACGTTAGCCGCAACCTTTTTTTGTAATGAATGAAATTAATTTCTATATCTCCCCAGTTTAGAAAACTCTTTTCATATACATACTTATATATGAGTCGTATAGGATCAAAGGCGGCAATCTACACTTAGACTGAAATCAGAGAATTGAAAATTTTCGGTTTGTGTCGTCCGTTTCAAAAATGATATTACGTAACTTTATTTTAAGTGATGAAAGTATTGATGCGCTTAATATTAAACTCTCATTGTGTACTACATATAAAAATAACAATTTGAAGAAATTTAGAAAAGAATTTTGCAGAATGCCGGATTTGAAACCAAACATCTGAGAATGCCGTATTTGATACCAAATTATGTCGAGATTGCCGTTTATGAAACTTACCAAAAAAATTAACTCGTTCAGGGTTGTCAAAAAGGATATAAAAAATGTTATAAAGTTGTTTTAAGGATTTTATTTGAATAAATCAAGTGGTGATAATGAAACTACACGGATGCACAACAACACAGCACAAGTAGCACATTTAAGCCATTTTGTGTTATGCGTGCAGACTCTTTCAGGGACTGATTAAACCAAAACTATAACCAGAAACAAGCAGAATATATTGAAATTTTAAAAATCCTTCACCCAATAAAGAGAAGCTATAATCCTGTCGCGTCTTTTAAAAAGGGCTGACAATTATAATATAAAACTGTGTAACTTTTTTTCAGATTTTGTCCAGGAATATTAAAAGAACCGCATGAAAATCCATTCACACATATACACATAGTATAGTGGTCAACTTTATAACACTCATCTTTTGTTAGGGTTAAAAAACATAGAATACACTTTGTCTTAGTCGTGACGTGACAGCCCTATACATTTTAATTGAGTTTATTCGCCAAGTTTTGTTTTCATTTTTCTGAGTTTCTCTGTCGTTTCCGGGCAAACATATTTATTACAGGCTTAGAATGTACATCCATGATTCAATTTATACATTTATTTTATAACAGTAATCACAATAAATAAAATAATTCAATAAAAACACGGACACAAATTCGTTAGAAACTTCATACAGACGTCATTAGATCACGTGACCACACGGACGCTTGTGATTGGTGGAATGAGTTAGAATGCCGGGTTTGATTCTTATGCTGTTGAAGATTGCCGAATTTGATGCTAAACCTGATTTTCAAAAGGGATTTCACTCCGAGATAGTCGTTTTTGTTATAAAGTAAATTAAGTACGTAACGTTATTTTAAATTTCCTGTGTACTGCTTAAATGTCAGTGTCATATATTTCTCATATTTTTTATTAACGACATACTTAAATTAAAAGACGATTCACAAAGGTGCTTGAGTAATGTGAACTAGAAACTAGTTTAATTAACGTTTATTAGTAACTATTCTAGTCAGAGAATTCTGTGGATTCCTAAGATTTACAAACTAGGTAGGTCACGTCACTCAAAACTTTGTTTTCTACATCAAAAGCAATGTTGTACATAGTTTGTTTTAGTGCGGAGCAAAAGTACGTACCTACTGAGAGCAAATTTGTCTTAACATTGTTTAATATTTCGTCATGCTTAACATAAAAATATACTTGTTATAGTATACAAATATTGGACTTAAATACAGATTTCGACAATTTATATCAGACTATTTTGCATTCCTATTTGTCAGGCACGTTTTAAAATTTCTATGATCTGTAACCATTTGAGTGTAACAAAAAAGGAGTGTGGTCTTTGAATATTTGGCATATTGGAACCTGGAGTTATTTCTTTTCCATCATATACCAAAATAAAGAACTAAAGCTTGAAAAGTGTTAGTGGATTTTCGTCAAGCTTTAGAATAATTAAGTTGTAGAAACTGAACGTCTTAAAGAGTCAAACTGTTTTTAAGAATACTAGCTTTTGCCGCGACTTCGTCCGCCTGGAATAGTGACTTCCGGCAGATTTTTGGTTCTTCCCACATAGTTCCCGTTCTTTCGGGGTTTTCGGAATGGTTGAGTTCCCGTAGAATTTTCAGGATAAAACCTATGTTCTTTTTATTCACAATGAAGTACTCTTAACCAACAACGTATTTATTTGTTGATTTGAATAAAGATTAATATTATTATGTTGATACAACTTAAACAAATTATTTCGACCAAATTAGGTACCATATAAACGGTTTTTGTGATTTAATCTTAAAAGATAGACATATACTATCGCGGACTGTTTTTTAGATCATTAAAAGAGCTATTATTCTTTAATACATATTTTTTGTGTATCTTGAACCGTTTTCACGGCGCACGCTACGGAAGGCTTCAAAGATGAAATAATTTCTCCCGTTTTTTACACATTTACCACTATATCTTTGCTCCTATTGGTCGTAGCGTCATGTTATATAGCCTACAGCCTTCCTCGATAACTGGACTATCCAACACAAAAAGAATGATTCAATTCGAACCAGTAGTTTCGGAGATTAGCGCTTTCAAACAAACAAACAAACAAACTCTTCAGCTTTATAATATTAGTATAGATTTATATAATTTTGACATAAAATTTTAATAAAAAATATAATCGTATGTAAAGGACTCCTACCTTGTTTTCGTTTGATAGTAATAACAATTGCTGTAACATGAACAAATTAAGTCTAGACTTAGTTACGTAAGGTAAAAATGAAAATTATTAAAATCACGACGAATAATTCCAAATCATAGCTTTAAACTTAATAAACATTATACATAACCAAACCTCTAAGAAAATTTACTTATAAACATTATAAAATAATATCAGTCTAGAAAATGGGACTTTAATATTAATATACGAGAGAAACAATACATTATACCAGAATTTTTTAATGTCAGAAATGAATAAAGGCGAACATAACAAAAAGCACCATTGTGAGATGAAGCTCTGTAAATAGAACATTTGAAGTCATTTCTCGCTAAGGATATGTCGACAAGTATTTTACATAAAGTCTGTCGGGCTTAGTGCGCCATTATACAGGGTGACTGGTGAATTACTATCAATATTTAAGGAGAATGCTCGGTACATGATTCTCATTCGAATTATGTGAAAAAAATAGGTACTTAATTTTTGACCAAATTTCCGTATAAATAAATAAAGTGCGGACACGTTCCAAGTGTTCCAAGTGTGGACGCGTAAAGTGGCGTACTGATACAACACCATGCCTTCGCACGCGTATGTGTGAGTGTGTGTATACCTAATCTGTAGGGTGTTCACACGATGCGTAATTAATTACATAACTTTTGGTTAACTTTACTTAGAAGTTTATTAATATTTATGTTATATTAATTTTTATTTTGTTACTAGTAAACCTGGCGAACTCCGTTTCGCCTCCAGAAGGCTTTGTTTTATGTAAAATTTCGTTTGGTGATTAAAAGATGGAAGAATTTTTTTTGTTTTATATTTGAAAAGGAAAATATTTATTTCATTTCACAACAGTAATGAATTCATTTCGATTACAAAAATGAAGTGTTATTTAGTTGAACTTCTCTAAGTAAATGAAAGTGAATCCAAAGTAGATACCGAATCGAAGCGTTATACGTGTCCGCAAATTATCCGTTTCATTGAAGTTCTCCTTTGTAAACCACATTTTTTGTTTTTTGGTCTAACGTTAACACAAATAAAGCGGATGGTTTCCAAACTCGTGAAAACACAAACTATAACTGCCCATGTGAA